TATGAATTACGTCTGTAGCTTTTGCTTGGGCTTCCTGTGGAATAAGCGTTTTGACTATCTCCTCTTCCTCGCAGTTGCTGAGTTTGGAAAAAAGGTGAAGGATTTTTAACAGAGGAGAACACCAATTCACTAAATTTTTTATCAACAAATCTTAAGTTTGTTTTCATCTTATTCTATGAATTTAAGCTTTCCCAGTGCTCAAGGGATTGTGGGAAGTCTCGTAATCTTCCACTGCGCATGCGTTCAATTAATCATAAACTCAAAATAGAAACGATACAAACGATGTAAAATTCAAAATGTCAGATTTGAACTTTCAGCAATTTTCACCTTCTGATTGGACTTCCTCATAATTGAGGGAGCAAATATAAAGGTTTGAAGATAGAATCAAGKAGCTTTTAAAAATATCTCTTCTGCACAGCGATGGCCAACAGTTTGAATAATATTTTCAACTTGTCAACGCTGGCACCAAGTGCTATGATGGCTTCTACGAACAGCACTACATCAACGATACCACAAAAACTAGAAACACAGTATATCTTCTTTCAAACTGCTGCCGCCAGAGGGATTTCAGGTTTCTTTGTCATGATGGCACTAGTAATTACATGTCATCAGGTATGAAGAAGCGATCGACATCGACCTTTGTTGACATTTTGTACGACTGTTGGAATTTGAATTGAATAAGACTATATCAAATATATAATTTGTTTCATTTTAATTATCACGGGTGGAAAGTCAGTGGCCCTGGATTATTTCTTTCTAGTTTTGTCGGCTAGAGTATTTGTTATAGTTTGTAACATGTCAATTTTTTGTAGATTTATCAGCATCTTAGCTGTTATACAAACCCAAGTGAACAGAGATGGATAGTAAGGATCTTGTTTATTGTTCCTATCTATGGCTTTGATTCGTGGCTGAGTCTAATGTTCTTTGAACAGTCGTACTATGTATACTTTGACAGCGTAAGGGATTGTTATGAAGGTATCTTTGCTTTAGTATTTTATCATAAAATAATTATATAAATCTTAATTATAAATCTTTTCTATTCCTTTTGTATGTCATTCTTTCTTCCAACTTCCCTTTAAGCTCTTCCCTTCCTATCTTACTCTTTTCTCCTTCACCTTTCTCAAATTTTTCTTATACTCCTTTTCTGTTTTTCAGTCTGTATCTTTATTAAGAATGTGGAATATTAATGAAATGGTTCCCTTTCCTCACAGCATTTGTGATTTATAACTTTCTGAGTCTGTGTTATGAATATCTTGGTGGAGAGATGGCAATAATGACAGAAATAAGAGGGAAACCAATACCGTAAGTACTGTCTATGCTGCAGTAGTACTAAGTGTCTTACAACTGTACTTATTATTGTTTATTTACTATTGTCTTTCAGTGCAAGCTGGTTTTGTTGTACATGTTGTCTGGCTGGTAGTCAGTATACCATTCTCTTTCTTAGGTTTTGTAAAAGGGTCAGTATTTGTCATGTGGTTTTTAGCTCATAGCTGAAATAGTTGCCAGTTGGATGTTTGTTCTTTATGTTTCTTTCTTGGTTAGGTACATTTTGGTTGTTTGAGTGTGTTAGTTTGTAAAGTTGATTGAATGGTAGTTGGTCGGTAGTTGTTGGAGAGTGTGGTGGTGATTTTTTTTTAAGCACTAACCAAAAACGAAATGTGAGACCATGTATTAATATGAAACATTGTTTGTCTGCCTTGTTGTAATGTTGGTGGATGTTGTTGGATGCAAAAGGAGCTTTTATAAGAGCTTTATAAGTAAGCTTCCCTCATATACTCTCTCCTGTTGGATCGAAAATGCTGGATGGAGTTTGAAGGTTTTTCGTCAAGTAAGAATTGGTGACAATCCTTGTGACAATGAAAAATTATGTAATCAAAAGAATAATACACTATATACATGTAAAATATATCAAATATACTTCTAGAGTTAGTGCTATATTAGTACCTAACTCATTAATTGTAAATATCTGTATTTAACTCATTAACTGCAAATAAATAAATAAAGTTGTAAAAAAAAAAAGATGTCAGGCAGTCAAATATTATATTTATTATTATATAATATTTATTATGACCATATTTTATTCCAGGCTACGTTACAGTACTGTGTAATAAAACCAATCATGGCAATAATCACCCTGATACTTCAACCACTTGGCTATTACTCCGATGGTGATTGGAGGTACGTAAACAAATACGAAAAGACTCTGTGTACATGTTTCTATGTGACAATCGAATGAAGGGATGCCTGAAAAATGGGCTAAGTGACTTTGTAGGATATTTTTGAAACTTTCACGAAAGTGCATTAAGTTGTCTTTTAATCACCTTTTATATAGCTCAATTCTAACASGTGCGTTGATTGGTGGATTTTCAATTTTTCCAAATTTTCTGCTATAATATCAAACCAATAAYCAATAGCTTTAAGCATTAGACTGGCCAAATAAACCGCACAGGATAGTTAGCAGAACATGACAAAAAGATCTGTAAATCACAACCYGTCAGGCAAGTGATTTACTTTTTCGAGTGTTCTCCCAACTATCCCAAGTGTTTATTTCGCCAGAAAACGAGAAAACTACTTCAAGCTATCATTTATTGCTAAAATTTTCATTATAAATAGACGTATTGATTGCTATGGAGCACTCTAACTTGACAACAAAGTTTGCAAATTTTGTATATCYCATGTACTGTCAAGTTTTCGGTTATTGCTCAAATGACTTGAATTTGAAATTGTATTGAGGGCTTGTACTTCTAATCCTTGTTTGGTTTCTTTCTCTTTCTAAAATAATACTAATAGGATGCCATCAACATGGATATTCCTTGAAAAACGAATTTGTATCTAAATGTTCTTGAAATGATCTGTAATTTTGTGATGAAAATGTAGCTTAAGCAATGTGGCAAATTGAACTGTCATGCAACTCTCCATGTTGTTAAATTCCTGAGGTTTTTCACAATTATTATTCTGTATTTATTATGAATATGTTGACACTTTGCGGTGAACAGAGAAATAGTGAAAAATTGAGAGAAAAGTTCTTCAAGCAGACAGTCCTTTGATATAGTATATGTTTTCTTGACAGGGCTGACCGTGGATACCTGTATATTTGTATTATTTATAACATCAGTGTAACTCTGGCTCTTTATGCATTGTTTCTATTCTACCAAGCAACCAAAGACCTTCTATGTCCATATTATCCTGTATTGAAATTCTTTACTGTCAAGTCCGTCATCTTTCTCTCTTTTTGGCAAGGTAAGATCATTATAGAACAAATTTATTAATGTTGGATCCCCCCTCAAACATTGTGGATCTCCTAGTAGTGTTATAGTGTGGGAAGGAGAATCAGACTGTTAGGTTGCCCAACATAACCCATGGTGTTGAGAKCTTTTCTTTTTGGTATGACTAATAGGTGTATGGATTTTAGTTGCATACTATTGAGCATCTCAGTCACTAGATACTTCTCACGCCATCCCCGGGAACTAAATTAAATCTTCTTGTTCCTGGTTCCTTTATTTCTGGGAGTGAGCAGCAAGGAAAAGAAGATTTACCAGTAGGTTCTCAACTAAGTTCTCAAACAGGTTTACAAAGTAAAACTCAAATTTCTTCTGCATCACAAGCTTGTCTTATAGGTGGCAAGCAAAATCTGAACTATACAACAAAAAAACTATTTTATTCTTTGCCATATAAGATATCATCTCTTGATAAAACAGACTGTTAGTTGTATTTTCTATAATCCCAACCCCATCTATTGTGTATTGTGTTTGCAGGTGTAGTCTTAGCCGTGGCTGAAAAAGCAGGTCTCATAAAAACCTACCATGGAATATCAGCAGGGACAATTGCTGCAGGCTATCAAAACTTTATCATCTGCATTGAGATGTTTTTTGCTGCTATATGTCTTCGTTTTGCCTTTCCTTACTCTGTCTACCTTCGGCAAAGAAAACTGAACGAGCGAGGACAGGGAATCGCTCTTAAGAGTATCTCCAAAAACTTAAAACAAACAATGAATCCCAAGGATATTGTGGACGATGCAATTCATAATTTCTCTCGTTCTTATAAACATTACGCCAACGCCCAGAACTCGAAGTTTTCCGGCGATGAATCGATGTCACGTCATCCACACTCAGTCACGCAATCTTATCAAAGTACGAACTTCGACGGTTTTGATTCAGCAAGTGATATCGAAGCCGGTACAGCGCATGCTCAAGGGGAGCATTACGATTCGTTTGAYTCATTTCGACGCGGCATGCAAGTGACTGTGATTGGTAGCTTACATGGAAGTCATAGCAACCACAGTCGGAAATCACGTGATAGTGAGAAGACAACATTGTTGGATTCCGACTCGGAGTTTTAGATTAGGTTAATTTACCACAACTGGAAGTATGCAAGCTCTGTATTTTGTAATCTGAAGGCCCCTTTACACTGGCGATTTTTGCGGCGATTTTTATGGTCATTTTGATCCTAGAGATCAATGCTTAAGTAATAACTTGCAAACATTTAATCAGCACACTGGGATAAGCTAACTATACGTGTCCTCAGAAGGATAAGACAAAATATATTACATTTTTGGAAATCGCCTGGAAAATCACAGCCAAAAATCGCCAGTATAAACGGYCCTTKARACWGTATTCTGTTATTTGTGATAGATGGCATTAAGTAAGGTTATGTCAAATAGCTGATTTTTGGCAAATCAAAAGTGGACGTTGGTGTAAAGTTTTCTATCGAAATTGTTCTCATCGAAGTTCTAAAGAAATTTATCAAATTTTGACTCGGGTAGGAGGAAGGACTAATACACAATTCATGCTATTTGACAGTTCCCCTTCTGTACCTTTGACAGTCCACCCTCACCTCACCCTCACCCTCACCCTCACCCTTCGGTCCTTTTTACACCATGGTCCATGACCAGTATCCTTTTTATGTTTCAAAACAAAAATACATTGTAAAACATAAGAAACGTACTCTTTTTTATCCCTTAATTTCTCTATAAATGGAGATATTGTAAGATTCGATTTTGAAACCGGGGTATGGAAAATCTAAAAGACGACAGCATTGCCMTTGAATGATTAATGCTGGTGAAACATGGCCCCCGATAATTAAATATTGGTTTAGAATACACCTTTTAATAGTCGATAATTCAAATCTTGTATTCGACTATTATACTAATATCAATTGCTGGAATTTATTTCGCYATCTCAACGTCGCGACTCTATTGCTATTTTCGTGTACATTTTTCTAGAGGATGTAAATATTCTAGTAAACTGTTTCCATACTCTGAAGTCCTGTAGAACAGGTAAAGTATTTATGCTGTACATAATGAGGCAATGGTAATAAAGTATATCATTATATGATAAATCCACTGATTAAATTACTGGATATAATCCATTAGAAGTACTTCATCMTTTTGAACTCTCATACTACTTACACTAAACAAACACCAGCAAGGAACCAGTCGACCTGGTTCACCCGACCAACCCAGATACAAACATAAGACTAATGGCACTTTTCTAGTTTTACTAATGTAAACCAGGCTGAAAGCTGAATCCAACAAGCCAAGCGGTTAAACTGAAATGTTTTGTAGGATTCATGGTCTAACAATAATTATGCAGGTTTTATATTTCAAAAGACTGAGAAATACTGCGATATTAAAATGGTCACGTGTGCGTTGGTCCAGGGAGGGAAGGGGCTTGCTTCTCGAAACTGAAGAAACAGTACTGGTGTCCGACGACACTGATTTTAGGGCGGAAACCACGTTTTCAAGGGGGGTATCTTCCCGATGTCAAAGAAAACCGGATATCGATGAAAAGTTATTGGAATTTTCAAAAGCAGTTGATCCCTTTCTTACGCAAAAGGCCACTATTTCAATCTTGACGTGCACAGAAATTATATTAATGCTTATAACCTGTCGACACAGTGAACTTTTGATTCAGCTTCACAAACTTAGTCTGCGCCGGTCAGCCAAACTAAAACTGTTATTTTCGACATAATAGTTTTGGTTCGGCTCAGCATGCAGGCTACAAAAGTTTACACCTAACCAGAATGCACTTCGAGGTGTCATCAAACGCGGCAGTCAAAACAAACTGTTTGTTTTCATTATTCGTCATGCTTACTAGAAGTTGACTGCCATCTAATGCGTTTTCGTGTGGACAATTACCTAACAGAAGAAGCTTCAAAATAAGCGTCCACGTTTTATTTATGGTGAAAAGTAATATGCATGCAAATATTGAATTTTAAAATTGTAACATTTTTAATAAGTATATATATTCACACACAATTTGTTCTGCAATGAATTATGTTCACACTCTTGTTATATACTGCTTAACGATATTTGTATCTATATTCACACGTACGTTGTTTATTGTTAGTTACCTATGTTTTATAATTGTAGCCAAGTATCACATGGTGAAAGTCACTATTACTGAGGTTTAATTCRACAAAGCAGTTCACCTTGAGTCTTTTTTCCAGCTAAATCTAAAATGTTCTTTCTAGTAGTTTGAGATTTCTATCGATAACGTCTGACAATCCAGATGATTGGCTCATATACCGATAAATGCATATTTACTGTCCGTTTACAACTATTTCAGAAAACGATGAACACCTTATCCTGATACGGAATAGTGTATTCCAAGACGAAATGCATACTTGGTAGTTTTATCCCCTTTGAATTTCATGATTATACGAAAAACACAGCTTTGGTGGAGTTTGATAGCAAGTGCAATGCATTGCGGTCTTAGAATAGTATCACTCATTATCCAACATTGATAACCTCGACATAGAAATCCATCTAATTTGACAGATGTCTGGAAGATATTCATTAAGATATTATTAAATAATCATTAAATTTATTAGTTATCAAGTTCGTGTCACCGTTGTTTTCTCAAAGGTGGTACTAGTGGTTTCATATTCCCGTCAAGTCCATATTTATTGCTTGGTGGTAAGGGGGGCGTAAGTTGAAGCTCGTCGTCCCAATCATCCTTAAACCCATTCAATCGTGTCATGTGATCGGATGAAGGCGACGGTAGATCGTACGATGAAGTATCAATTGGCAACGAAGGGGGTGGTCGTTGAGGTGGAGATGGAGGGCGACCAAGCGATGACAAATCAAGCGGCGGGACAGARTCAGAGCCAAACGCCGGGGGAGGTGGAGGAGGAACCGAAGGCCCTGTGTCCCGTACTGGAATATCATCGAGATCGTACTCGGGTTTCATGTCAGGTGACAAAGCCCTGGCGATTAAATCATCTATGTTACCATCAGGTGAGTCTTTGATGGAGGTTGTGCGAGGTGGTGGGGGTGGTCTTGCTGCAGAAATCACAGGGGAATTGTCAGATGGTCTTGCAGAGGATGTCCTTGTAGGAGGTTCGGGAGGTCTATCGTCTTGGTTGTCCGTCTTCGAGTTAAGTGCGTTAAACATTAACTGCGCGGACGACAATCTAGGTGAACCAGTCACCGGGAATCGAGGAGACCCTACAATCATGTGATCATCAGCAGTAGAGTATTCAGGCGGTGGCGGGATGCCATCGGTGCCGGTGTACGGTGGTGGCTTGGGTGGAGGTATTCCGCCGCTACCTTTATACGGCGCAGGTTTGGGTGGCGGCGATTCCTTGGTAACCTTTAATGGCGGCGGTGACCCACGAGGTATGACCTCTTCATAATCAGAGTACTTCTTGACGGGTTTTGATGGGATGGACGAAACAACGTCTACAGATGAATACGATTTGTCCACCTCCACAGATGAGTAATCGTCGTCTGTGTTCATAGAGGTGTACGCTTTGCCCGACGAATAAGATTTTTTTGCTCCCAAATGGTCGTCATTTTCAATATTCGAATCTCTGACCAACGTTTTTGAAGAAACGGATTTAAAATCAGGTGGTGGACTTATTCCACGCTGTTGTTTGGGTTGCAGGGTGTTTTGTTCTTCGCCTATCGGTGGATTATTCACTGGTGGTGGAGGTGGTTTAAAGTTTGGAGGTCCCGGGTCGATATACGGTGAACCTGGTGCTTTTGGTGAATCTGTCGTTTCTGGTGTTGGTAATTCCCTGGGGGACGGGGGGTACATCGACTCTTTAAGGGGCGATGTTTTCAATGTTGGAGCTTCCTGGTCCAGATACGGTGTATCGGCTGTTTCGCTCCTTGGAGAGTCTGTCGAGGATGACAGTGCTACACTAAATCCCTTGGAGGAAGGCGTGCGTAAAGAATCCCTGGGAGAATGTGGTTTGTCTAGAACCTTTGTGTACGGTAAACCTGTTATTTCATCTCCTACAGAATCCATTGGAGAAGGGGAATGTGCGGTAGATTCCTTGGGTGACGGTGCACGTACATTAGAGGTATTGTCGGGTGACGGTGCACGTACATTAGAGGTATTGTCGGGTGGTGGTGCAAATAATTTTGGAGGGACATCCGGTGGCGCATCCCTGACTGCCTTGACGGATTTTTTTGTTTTGTCAGGTTTTGCGTAAACTGCATCCACATTCTTCGAGCTTGTTTCAAACGCAGACACGATGTTACTAAAACCACGAGGAATTTCTCGTATCGTTTCTTCCTTTGCCTTCATTTCCACTTGGTTCAAAGTTACCGAGTCAGTGTGGGTTTCACCTGGTGGGGTTCCCGTGGAAGATCGAATCTGCGCATTGTTATTAGAATCGTTTTTGTGTGATTTAGGTTTAGGTGGCGGTGGTGGAGTCTTCTTCGGAACTGGTTTTACCGGTATAACAGGTTTAGTTGGTGACATTGGTTTGACTGGTGAAACAGGTTTCGTCTGTGAAACAGGTTTGGATGGTACAACCGGTTTGGATGGTACAACCGGTTTGGGAGAAGATGAAGTTTGATGGTTTTTCTCGTCCTGACTGGTAACAAACAGTTGAGAAGACGAACTTGCTTCAAGGTTATTAGAAGCAATTTTTGGTTTAATTTGTTCATGGTTCTGAGGTTCTTTCTCGACTGATTCGAGAACTTTTGCCTTTCGTTGGTCCAGACTTTTCATAAGTTCATCTTTTGCGGTATCGTCGTCATCAGCTGTGCTTTGACTTCGCTGTTTCAGTTCTTTGAATAACTTTGATCGTTGCTAAATTGAACAGAATTTGCGAATTAATTCGATTCATATTAACGGTTTTTATCAATAGTGCTCAATCTTCAACGTTATCAATATCACCATCATTCAACGTTATCAATATCACCATCATTCAACGTTATCAATATCACCATCATTCAACGTTAGCAATATCACCATCATTCAACGTTAGCAATATCACCATCATTCAACGTTAGCAATATCACCATCATTCAACGTTATCAATATCACCATCATTCAACGTTAGCAATATCACCATCATTCAACACTAAACATCATCAATGACTATCCATGTCAATCCTTCACAAATAATAATAGGTTAAAAGCGGTCATTATCATCGTTGCAATCACTATTTTCTATTGAGAAAATATCACAGTACAACAGAGGGCACAGCACAATTGACTCACACCATCTAGTCTATCATAAACAAAACCCGTGAGTAAACCAGTCTCCATTGGACTCACCTCACGTTTCGCTTGTTCATCTTTGAGCTTTTTCTTGTTGGTATTTTGAGCAATGGCGGACTAATAAAAAGACAACATTTATTTTACATAACACGAAACACGATACATTAGAATTCTAATATTGACAGCATGATAAGTTCAATTGTGAGCGATCTTTTCAACGCTCGGAGATCGAAATCCGTATCTCCGCGCGTCCATGTAATATCCTTGATCTATCCGCAGTAATGCATGAAAACGGACAATACACGAAAGACCATGGCATAATCACTTTAGCTTCATTGGTGGGTTAATCACTGAACAAATGGACAAGTTCAAATCTAGTTAGCCGTAACTTTTGAATTTGAGCCACCTTTCGACAAAATGCAAATACGAGATCACAACATTTCACCACTATCATTACCGCCATCATCGATTTTCCCTTCAAACGTACCTCAAAATGAACAAGGAAAGAAGCAAAAATAGCAAAGAAGTCTTCAGTGGTGGTTTTCGATAATGTCTCTCCAAAGAACGTCACAGTTTGTTTAAACTCGGTGTTCATTGTTTTCTGTAAGTCCAGTAGTTCTTCGAGCTTTCCTTCTGTTTCTTCGATAATGTCCTGTCACAGTGTTAAGGAGTGTATGTAATGTGGACAGTGAATTATAGACTTGGTTCTGAAATATATTCCTTCTGGTAATTACTGTATAAAAATATTCCACGTGTCCAGAATAACTAGCACTGGAAAAAATCGTGCTCCCTGAAGGTTGTTAATTTGATGGAAATATGATGTAAATTCAATCTATAGTAATTACAAAGGTTGTAAATATCCCGTAAGTGTCCAAAATCATGGAAGTATTGTGTAAATTTGGATTTTAAATTACATAATATTTCCATTAAATTTACATCGTTTGTAAAAAGTGTGTAAATGTGATGTAAATATTATGTAAGTGTCCAAAATCATGATGTAAATATTACTTACATCATTTTTACATCAAATTTACAGCTCGCTTCAGTGACTGTTATACTTTTTGGGACACCCTTATGGACACTTCTATACCACGGAAACCACACCATAGCTGTAAACACCAACACAACAGCAGCACAAACAACAAACAATGAAAACAAAGGATACAATAACGACATCGGTGAATCGATCGTCGACACTCTGGATGTTTGTAGCTTGGAATGATATCAAGTCATCTTGAATAGCCTGGAAAAAATAATGTAGTTCTTTCACTATTTCTTCAGCCTGTGTCGTCTCGTTTGAAACAGAAATTATTTCCTTACCTTCATTCGTCTTGATAAATCTTGGATTTCAGACGCTACCATCTGTCCAGACACTACAGTAACACAAAAGATTGTTTTTTAAAGTATTGTGCTACTAAAATAATGAGGCAGGATGGGAAGTAAGTAAGTCAGTCTATCAATAGGTCTGCTAACGTGAAATTGGTGGTGGTGGTTGGAATTGGATGGAAACGTTTAAACGCGTTAGCTGATTCAATCAATCTATATTTTACCTTTAGCAGCCACTGGAATTGTCGTTAGGTTGTCCTTCATTGTCAAAACCTCAGGGCACTTATCTTCTATCTTTTGCACGAGAAAGTTTAACAGAGTTGATTTGTTGTCAGTAGTTTTTGTGCTGTTCAGCTGTAAATAGAACAAATTAAAGTTATACTCAATAGTCTTCTTCACGGTTCCCTGCGTCATCTTGAAATGTAGTCGTGCCTTTGCATCGAAGCGAGACGACCGTTGAGCGTGCAAAGATAGAAACCTTCTTTCACACCCACAGACAATTATTTACAGGTATCTATCATTGCACGCTCAACGGTTGTCTCGCTTCGATGTAAAGGCACGGCTACCTTTCAAGATGGCGCACGTAACCGTGAAGGAGACTATTGATGGAACAAAGGCTCTCTTACTATTATCAGCAGCATGTCAACACTACCCGATGATACAGTGATATCAGTTACTATCACCTCCCAGCACCTTAAAGATCTCTCAAACGATAGCTTGAAGATGTTGGTTAGGAGAACACGAGAAAAGATTTCCCAACCATCCCAACTGGTTTATTTTTTCTAGTAAACCCCTTCAAGCTATCGTTTTATTTGCTTTTATATTATAGCCGGCGTCCGCCATTTAGACTCAAAAGTCTTTCAAGATAGCAAGCTCGTTTACCGGCGAAATAAACCATGGCTTTTCTACTGAAATCCGCCAATCAACGCGCGTGTTAGAACTGAGCTATGATAGATAAGGATATCGTTAATACAGGGTGTCGTTTCTCTGTGTACTGGTAAAGATTGATGAATGAGGGTTTTATTGTACCTTGGTCAGGTAGGTAATCTTGAAGCCTTGTGCACCAGCTATGCGCATATTGCCCTTGTTCATGTAGTTACCCATTAATAGAACAAGCTGTCAATCACATCACCAGAAAGTTAGCAAAAAAATAACTCGATTAGGACAAAAATATATAGTGTCAAGTACCTCTAAAAGTTTCTGCAGCTTGTCACATGACCGCAGTTCTTTCGATGCTTCAATGACAGCCTCCAAGTCCTAACAAAAATATTAAATACTTATTGAACTCAAGATAAAGCAGTATACTGCAACAAACCATAAATTTAAGCAATAAACAACACATTTTCGTGCATTCCTGGTGAAATAAACCAGGCGGGATGTTGGGAGAACACGAAAAAGGCGTAAAAAATCTCGAGCCGATGGCAAGACATTTTCAACCTTTTGACTGTTTTCCCAATATCCCAAGTGGTTTATTTCACCAGGAACACACGAAAATGTGTTGTTTATTGCTTTTATATTATAGAATTTTCGCGTCTGTGCGTTTACCGGTGAAATAAACAATAACATTTGACCAATCAGAGAGCGCGTACTATGATAGCTATAATATAACAGTTGTTAAACAATGAAGTTCATGCCAATAACCAATGTTGAATTTTAAGCATGAATAATTGATGTCTTGTCTGATTTTCTATAGAGAAAATTCAACCGTTATTGTACGTTGCTGCGCACTCTGATTGGTCTAACAACGTGTTTTGTTGCGCACTCGGATTGGTCTAACAGCGTGTTTTGTTGCGCACTCTAATTGGTCTAAAAGCGTACGTTACTGCGCACTCTGATTGGTCTAACAACGTGTTTTGTTGCGCACTGTGATTGGTCTAAATGCGTGCGTTGTTGCGCACTCTGATTGGTCTAACAACGTGTTTTGTTGCGCACTGTGACTGGTCTAAATGGTCTACACAATGAAGTAGTCAATCAGATAATTCATTACTTACAGGTTTAATCTCATCAACTTTGTCATCAAATTGCAATCTAAATAGCATTGCTTTCAGCCTTTGTGTGTAGTACGGAATTTTGCTCATCTGAGAAAGAGAACATAGTTTATTTTAATAACAATGCGCTTAAGAACTAGGGAACTCTCTATTGTTCTGCGGCATTGCAACTTCCCCATATACAAATGTCTTGATTTTCACACTATCAACCTATGGGTAACACATTTTTGAAATGAAATGTGGATAAACTCTGTTTTGAAACAAAGTTTCGTTTGTATTAAAACCTCTTATCCAATCATAAGCACTCAAAACAATAGCCAAAAGAAGCTTCTAATTTGCTATGTTCCCCACATAGAATTGCCTTAATATTGTAGCTAAAGAAAGCTTTCATGAAGTCGGAATCAGATATTAAATAAAATATTAGAAAATGCGCATGTGCTAACTTGTGAAATTATAGCAGATTTTCTTGTTTAAACCAATGGGATGGATGGATTATACGATACACAATTAGCATCTTCTTTCATTCCTTTGCCGTTTGCTTCCCTAGTTCTTATTCGGGGCATTACTCAATATATTGTAATGATATCCCAGATGCTCAAATCTTTTCTGCTTAACGCATATTTAGCATTACATTGAGTACAACCTCCCAACAAGCACATACCTCGTACGAAAACTGATCGGCTTTTTCCATTTTGTGGACGTCTTCAGCTAAGTACTTGTATTTCTGCAGCTATACAGCATGGATTGTAGGAAAGGAATCCAGTTATTCACAAATAATTAGCTTAACTATGGTCAACATTAACCAGGGAAGCGTGTTTTTAGGAGAGTGAAGGGTGCAGGGAAGCGTGTTTTTAGGAGAGTGAAGGGTGCAGGGAAGCGTGTTTTTAGGAGAGTGGAGGGTGCAGGGAAGCGTGTTTTTAGGAGAGTG